CAAATGCAAATAATGTCAAATGAGAAATACAAGACTTTTAAAAATCACACGGGGAGCAAAAATATATATTTGAATAAGGATAGAAACATAGAAGTTTCTCTAAAATGTGATATTTTTATGCAATATTTATATGGTCCCCATTCAGAGGAAGTACAATTTAAGGTCTTTTTCTTTTACTTGAAATATCCTCTGCACTAAGTAATTAAAGCATTAAAGGTTGCAGATGCATTTTAGTAAAGAGAAAATCTGGCCATTAAATCAAAAATCATTAGAAGTGTTTTTACACACTGTACAGTAATTGAAAAAAATTCTTACTGATGTCCTCTATAATAAAACTCTCTGGGCACTTTCAAATAAAAAGGTTTCTTTCTTCCTTCAAATCCAAGTCGTGGATAAGAACATCGCTGCTTTGCACCTTTATTTCCATGCCCATGAGTAGTTCCACCATGCTGCCCCCTAGGACGATTCTAGATGAAAACAAGAATTAAAGAATGGTGGAAAAAATAAAATCTTATTTTATAGTCAAGACAAATAAAAATATTTGCACAACAAAAACCATTCTTTGCATACTGAATAGGAAATATCTATACTTTTTCCTAGTCTAAACTTAGCATGATAATTTGAGTAATGAAGTGTTTCTGAATTTATACAACAATATTTCAGCAACCCTCAGGTAATAGCCTAATTTTCAGAATTATTAGACTTAATTTTTCCTTTTAGCTCATCAGAACATTGATTTACATCATGTTTTCCAATGAAAGTCAACTTTATTCCTAATAGATCTTAATCCTTTAATTATTTTTGTATAAAACTTTTAGGTTTTGAAACCATGATTGACATTTTAAAAAACCTTTAATCTCAATACTTGAATTATTTTTATATAAAGCATACAGGTTTTGAAACCATGATTGCCATTTTAAAAAAAAAAAGCTTTTATTCCTAATACTTCAATTATTATTGTATACAACGTTAAGATCCAGATACATATGAGATTCAAGATTTGTCTTTTTATTATTTTAATTCGTCAAAAATATAAAGAAATTTCTTTTTCACAACACACGTTAATCAAGCAAACTCCAGTATTATTACATTTTTCCCAATACTTACCTTCTTTTTGAATTCGCCGGGGTTGTGTAGCACATTATACTGACTAACTCGGGGCAAATATCGTAATAGTTCAAGGGCAGTTTCAGTGCCTTTACTTCTCGCCATTAAGAAAAATTATATTTGAATAAAAATTAAATTATCTTTAATAAAAAAAATATGCTTTCTGAAAATGTCCTTCTTGTGAGTTCACTTGCTTTAAAACGATTTTGGCTGTCTATTTCTTCTTGAAAATAATCTCTACTACAACTTGAAGAAAGAATAAAAAATTCTAAAAGTTTCTTTTTACATGGCAACACGAAATAGCGATTTTAGCGCTCTCTTTGCGGACACAGTGATTTAAAAAATTTATATACAAATTTCTTTTTAAACTAATTAAAATTTAACAAACTTTTAACAAAACTTTATTGAGTTTAATAACTTAAATTAATATTTTACTTATTGCATCCTTACACATCAAAAATTAAATTTAGCATTTAGAGCATAACAGAAGCGACACCATTCGCATTCGTCACGTCACATGGCATGGCCGACGCGCAAGGATGTGTCGGAAGGTTCGGAGGTAATATTTAATGTTTTCAAATTGATTATGCTTAGTTAGCGAACCCAAAATGTTTTAAAATCATTTATATTATGCTACCAAGTATATGCAGTAAAATGAATGGCACAATGTATTTGAAATTGATCTAGATTCATTGAATCTATGTGTGGTATCTAGCTTATAATAGGATGTGATACAATAAGGGAGACCGCCTGTAACATACATGATGAATAAATTAATTTCAATTAATGCTTTCAGCTATATTTAAGGACAATTTTATAGTTCTCTTTTTTTCGTTTTTTATAAATTAATGTAGGTGGATCTGATCTTTTTTGTAGGAAATATAAATAAAAATATCAATTTGTTTATTAATTGAGGTGTGACGAGTTCATAGCTTATTAATTAAATAAATATTTTCATATATATCTTCCATTGTTCTAAAATTTATTATCACTTTTTAGCTTGAAATTAAGTAGAAGTTAATATTAATTTCTTTAAATTGCGTGTGATAGTGGCCGAGTATGTTTACAAAAATGCTGTTTTAGCTTGATTTCGCCAAAAGTTTTGATATGTTTGCTTTTTTTGTGCGCTGTATTTTTAAAGTGCATTGTGTCTTATTTATCTTTTGGATATATTGGATAACCATTTATGAGGTAAGTCAAATTTTATTTGTTTTCCTCCGTCAAATCAGATGCTTTTTAATTATTTCTTTATTTTGATCTTGAGGCTTTTTCCTTAAAAGTTTTAACATTTATAAACATTCAATAGACATTTTATTTATAGTTTTTTATGTTTAAGATGCACTAAATGTGGTCCTCAAATAGTCCTGTGTGATAATAAATCTCAAATATTTACATTAAGTGTTCAAAAAGCAAATTATTTTTGAAGCGTTAATTAAAATTATATATCCGTTTCTTTCATATTAGGATGCACATTTAGGGGGTTAGAATGGATTATGTTCTGCACTACATTCTAATTGTTCATATCTCCTTTTTATTTCAAAATATTATGATTAAATCTTATTAAAAAAAATACTTGTTAATTACTTGCCTATTAACCAATCTACCATTTTCGTCAAATAAGAAAATTAATTTGGAAGTGATTCAAATTGGATTATTGATCACAATTTTGGATGCGATGAATTATATCTCTCAATTTTTTGTGATCATTTTATTATGTAAAAACAAATTTATATACCCTTTACTTGCATTTTTCAGAACTTTTCCCATCTAAATGTTTTCAAAAAATTAATTCCCTTTTATGTGTTTTTTTTTTTGCAAATTATACCTATAATAATTCTTTTTTATAAAAAAAAATAGTTTATTTTATAATTTTAATGCTTTGTTAGTTTTCAGAGGAATAAATTTAAGAAGAACTTTTTCACTTTGTTGTGGCAATCGAAAACCTAAATTTTAATGAAATTTTATTAAAATCCAAATTTGTAACTGAAGTGGGTTTTTTCTGCTTACTTAAAGAAAGTATATTAAAAACAATTTAATGTTATTAAGAGAGATGAAGCACAATCACTTAAGAAATTAATTTAATCCTATAAAGTTTTGTTTTTTTTTAGTAAAAGAAATTATTTTTTTTAAATTTTTGCAGTTCATTCTTTTATTTGTTTAAAATAATTTATTTCCTTTTTTTTCAAAATGTTGAGACTTATCTCTTCACATGTGTCGCAATTAATTATTATACACTTTTTACTCAAATTAAATTTCGGTCTTTACTTACATGATTTGGGGAAAAGATAGTGGTATCACATTATTATGCGGCTATTTGAGTCTTTTAAAAATTATTTTAGTCTTTAAAATTTTACTATAAGTACTTGTGCCAAGAAACAAGTTATTTATTGATATATATATATATATATATAATTGCGTCGAGTTGTATGCCTTCAAAATCCCAACAATTCCATAATAAATTGTGCACCCCTAATTTACTTAATAAATTTGACTTATCAGCTGCATGTTATTCAACTTCCTGATTTATTATAAGGTAATGTTTCCTTTTCTTCTTTTATATAGTTATACTGTGTTTTCTATTGTTATTTTCAATAGAGATTTAATTCGCTATTTTATGTAGTTACATTTTCTGAAACTTAGATTTAATTGGTTTATTTGATAATTTGATTGTTTCAGTTTCAAAATTTGCGTGGAAAAAATAATTGTATTGTTCAATTTATCAACAAAAAAATGAAAAAAAGGTTTTTCAGTCATAGGGGCGGGCACGAGTAAATTGAACTTTTTTCTTTGATTTTTGATCAGTTGATTTTTATGAGATTAATAGCTTTTTGGTTTCTAATAATAGTGTAAAGGCAAGCTAATAACTCCTTTAAAATCTTAATCTTTAATTTAAAGTTAATAAATATAATTTAAAACTAATCATTTCACAACTAGTTTTAGACATGACAAGCATGAAATCTGATTTTAACTGATAGATGAGACTGTGAACTGCATTGTTTTATTAAAGGAAAATTTATTTATGCCAAAAATCGGAATATTCAATTGAAATAATTTTACAGTAGGTGTGAATTAATATCTCAATATTTGCCAGCGATTCGTTACTTCTGACTGATTTAAAAATTTGGGGGGTATGAAAATGTTTTGGAATAGTTTTAACTGGAGATATGGCTTTATTTTATTTTATAACCATTGTTGAACAGCTAACCCAATTTTGAATTTAGGGCAACAATGTTCAACTTCGTATCCTTGTTATTTTGCGATAAATTTGCCTTCGTAGAGGACTTATTTATGTGGCTAATGGCATTTGTGTTATAGGGAGAAGAAAACCTCCCACGGTTAGCCTGATGGCAAGGGGACCCTGATCCATCTGCCATTAAGGATGTTTTACAACCGCACTCTGGTTTGTTGTGATTCGAACCTGGGTTGCCTCATTGGGAGGTGAACGCTGTATTCTCTGAGCCACCACAGCTCAGGGTATGGCTTTATTTTATTTTATACCGTCGTTGAATAACAAATCTAATTTTGGGTTTACGACTACTAATATTCAATTCCGTAGTCTCGTAATTTTGAACTCTATCCAGGAAACAAGGGAACTCCTGGATCAAGTACTGGGAGAAATTTTTGCCTTCGTAGTGGACTTTTCGATTCTATTTTCAATTCTTAAATCATTCTAGTGAATTGTTAATAAGTTTAAAAAGTTCTGTTCTGTAAGACATTACATGCCAACAACATTTTGATAAACACAACCACGTATAATATTAAAACGAATGTTGCAAGTTTATTCCAACTCAAGTAAAAGAAACACTTCAATTCTTATTAGAATTTTAAATAGTCTATAAATGCAGGCTTGTTCATCTAATAGTAATGTCCTCACCTTTTAATAAATCATTTTTAAAATTGTTAAACCAAAAAATTATCAATTTTGTGAGACAATTACCTTTAATGAATTTTTTAGTAAAATTGTTTTATAGTCATACATAATACATGTGAATAAAGTATTCAAAATAATTGAAATGGAAATTTATCGTTAATAACTGCTGAAAAACTGAAATTTAGAACTCATCTCATTTGAGGCTATGTGAAATGAGTCCTATGCCACCTTCTTTTGTTTGAAAATCTGATTAGAATTTAAAAGATTTTAAATTTTTAGTGGTCGGAAATTACCCCTGGACTTTATCATTTCTGGGGTAATTACTGATCACCAGTTTTTATTGTAAAGGGGCTGTTTAAAAATAATTATATAATGGTAATTAACAAATAAGACATCAAGATCAAACAAATCATTTGTAATGAANATGTACACACATAAAATTAAGATAGGAGCAAGGTAAGACAAACCAGAAATGATGCAAATCAAAATACAGTCTTGTATTCAGTTAAAAACAAATTTTGTGATGACAGTTTAAATATATTTTATAGTTGTTCCACTTAATAAATATGAACTGTTATTTAAGAAAAGACAATTAGCTATTTTATATACATACTATTGACGAAATGACAATGATCAGGAATTACCCCAGTGATCAATAATTACCCCATCTGTAGGGGGCAACATTTGATATAGTTTCTTATAATCAATTATAATGTTTACAGTAGATGTGAAACAATTAAACAAAATCTTACACTATTTTTATATCAAAGAAAAAGAAAGTAACTCAAAATATTTATTATTAAGAGAAGGAGGGGGAACAAAATGTGCACATTTCTTTGCAGAAATGTGCACATTTTGAAACCCATCTTTGAAATGGAAAATACAGAAAGCAGTTTAAAAGATACTTATTTTGTTAGATTAAACAAAAAACTATTATTACGTGAATGTAGTTATACTTTAGTAAAGTGTATAAGCACTCGTTTGTAAGTCTCAAATTTAAAAAAAAAATAATAATAATTTTAGATAAAACTTAGGTGATCATTATTTACCCCAGAAACAGAGTGATCGTGAATTACCCCGGGTCACCCTATTGCTTTAAAAAAATTAATTAATTAACCAGATAGAATAAATTGTGTTGCATTACACATTAACTGCGGGTTAAGAAATATTTAAACATAAAATTACTTTCCCATTTATTAAAAATAAATCACACTGTGAGAAAAAGGAAATTTAAACTTCCTCTTCAACTGCTATTTTTTTATGCCTTATTAATTTCCTTTTAAAATTAAGACAAAAATTCTACTTAATTAAGCTTTTTAAGATTCGAAATGTATTTATAGTTTTAAAATAAAACTTTATTTAGAAGATAGCATTTTGAAATCAGAAATTGGTAAAAGTTTACTTTGTTCTTTATTACTTTTAACTTACTTATTTTTATTTTTTTTTTTTTTTAATTTTACTTTTTTTGTTTGTTTTGTTTGTTTTTGTTTCATATTCTAAAAAATCTAAAAGAAAACAACATTTTCGGAATGTTATTTCAAAAGTTCTGTAATTTATTACACATCAACGTAATTTCACTAATTGAAGTTTATTGACTAAGTTTTGAATTTAATTTAAAGCAGCAAACTTTAGTAAATCCAAAGCAGAATTCTTTGAAGCTATTGAGATGTGAGGAGAAAAAAAGAAAACTTTTTTTTTAATTTGTGTATTTTAATTTTATTGTGTTATTTTTTATTTGGAAACTTACAAGTTTTATTTAGAAATTCTTTGTGATTGAAAATGAAATAAGCTTTATTAAAAATACTTTACTTTTTTTAAAATTATAATTTTATGATTAGGTGTGTAAAATAAAATCTGAATTAAAAATATTTATTAATACCTTTAGCATACTACCTCAGAATTGTTTTAAGTAAGACATATGTAGCGTTTTGTTTCAAAAATTTGTATGCTATTTGCATGAGTACCACTCTTCAGTACTGAGAACTGAAATCAGTCTGGAGAAAAGATCCAATGTATTAAATTCAGTCTTCCAGTTAGATTACCTTTCCAATTAGTTTTTTAAGTTCAATTTTTCCTTGCTTCTGAAAATTTAACTATTTTTTTATGTTAAAATAAATAAATAAAATATATTCTTGGAAAACATTGCTTTTTTCATAATTTATGAAAAATAATCAATTAGTGATCTCCCACCACAATGAAAGAGTGGGATCAGCTGAACTTCAACACCTATTCCGGAAAACACTATTTGTGTTGTTGATTGTGCTTGAATTCTTATTTTTTTCTCAGTATTTTGAGATGCTGTGCAAAGTTAAATTGGATT